ACAGCGGTCAGACAAGAGAAAGAGATAAAAGGCATCCAAATAGGAAAGGAGGAAGTAAAACTATCATTGTTTGCAGATGACATGATAGTGTACATAGAGAACCCTGTAGACTCTACCAAAAAACTCCTCAACCTAATAAGTGAATTTGGCAAAACAGAAGGATACAAAGTCAACATTCAGAAATCAAAGGCGTTTTTGTACACCAGCAATGCAATAGAAGAAGAAGAATCAGGAAAAATATACCATTCGATATAGCACGAAAAAAGATAAAGTACCTAGGGATAAATTTAACCAAAGACACAAAAGACCTGTATGCAGAAAACTATACAACATTGAAAAAAGAAATTAAGGAAGACACAAATAAATGGAAGCATATACCGTGCACATGGATTGGAAGAATTAATATCCTTAAAATGTCCATACTACCCAAAGCAATTTATAGATTCAACGCCATCCCTATTAAGATACCAATGACGTATTTCACAGAAATAGAACAGACATTTCAAAAATTTATATGGAACCATAAACGACCCCGAATAGCCACAGCAATTTTGAGAAAGAAACACAAAGTAGGAGGGATCACAATACCGGACATCAAACTCTACTACAAAGCCACCATACTGAAAACAATCTGGTACTGGCACAAGAACAGACCCATAGACCAGTGGAACAGAATAGAAAGCCCAGAAATAAGCCCAGGTCTCTATGGACATCTAATATTCGACAAAGGGGGCAGAAGCATAAAATGGGGCAATAACAGCCTCTTCAACAAATGGTGTTGGGAGAGCTGGATGGCTACATGCAAAAAATTGGAATTGGATCATCAGATGACACCATACACAAAAATAAACTGAAGATGGATAAAAGACTTAAATATAAGTCGCAACACCATCAAAGTCCTAGAGGAGAACATTGGCAGGAAACTCTCAGATATCCCACGCAGCAATTTTTTCACTGATATGTCTCCTAAAGCAAGGGACATAAAGGAAAGAATAAACAAGTGGGACCTCATCAAAATAAGAAGCTTCTGCACGGCTAAAGAAAACATCAGCAAAATGAAAAGGGAGCCAACCATTTGGGAAAATATATTTGCTAATGATACATCAGATAGAGGTTTGATCTCCAAGATATACAAAGAACTCACTCGACTTTACTCCAAGAAGACAAACGATCCAATAAAAAAATGGGCAAAGGACTTGGGCAGATGCTTTTCTAAGGAGGAGATACAGAGGGACCAGAGGCATTTGAAAGGATGCTCTGCATCACTAGCCATCAGAGAAATGCAGATCAAAACCACCATGAGGTACCACCTCACACCGGTCAGAATGGCCATCATAAACAGATCCACAAACAACAGGTGCTGGCGAGGCTGTGGAGAAAAGGGAACCCTAGTCCACTGTTGGTGGGAATGCAGACTGGTGCAGCCACTATGGAAAGCAGTGTGGAATTTCCTCAGAAAGCTGAAAATGGAACTGCCTTTTGATCCAGCGATTCCCCTGCTGGGACTATACCCTGAGAACACCAAAACGCCAATACAAAAGAACCTATGCACCCCAATGTTCATAGCAGCACAATTTACAATAGCCAAGTGTTGGAAGCAACCTAAATGCCCATTAGTAGATGATTGGATCAGAAAATTGTGGTACATATACACAATGGAATACTACGCAGCAGAAAGAAAAAAAGAAGTACTAAACTTTGCGACAGCATGGATGGAACTGGAGAGCATCATGCTAAGCGAAATAAGCCAGGGGGCGAAAGACAAATACCATATGATCTCACCTATAAGCGGAACCTAACCAACAATGCAAAGAAGCGAGGAAAATATGACCAGCAACACTGAAAGGAAAAGAAATCAACAGAGACAAGAGGGAAGGGGAGGCAGGGAAAGGGAAGGGAAGGGGAAAGTCAAGGAACATATAGCAAGGACTCATGGACAAAACCAAAGGGGAAGAGCTGAGGGAGGGAAGGTGGGAGGGGGCAAGGGAAAGAGGTGGGGGGAAGGCAGAGACAAATGTATTTAAAAAGTAAATAAATTAATTTTAAAAAAAAAGATAATATCAAATAAAACAATTTCTAAAACCATAAAAAAAGATGGAATATTCCTATTTGCAAAAACAAGGGTGGGCCTTAATGGTATTTTACAAAGTGAAAAAGACAAAAATTGTATGATTTCATTCACATGTAGAATATATATATTATATAAATAAATAGATATATAAAAAGAAACAGACACAAACAAAACAAAAACAAACTCACAGATATAGGCAACATATTGGTGGTTACCACTAGTAAGGGGGTATGAAGGAAGGGAATAATGGGTAAAATGAGTCAAATGTATAATGACTGATGGAAACTAGACTTTGGTGGTGAGCATATATGGTGTATACAGCTAGCAGATTATAATGTTGTACACATGAAAGCTGTAAAATAATATTAACCAATGTTACCTCCATAAAAATTTCATTGATTAATTAAGATAAAGTGCAAAAAATACCATCAATACAAAACTACAGATCCAAAGGAGAATCTTCCCAAAATAAAGATGAAATAAAGAGATTTATAGTCAAAGGCAACTAAAAAATATAGACATGTTCTAAAAAAAAAGTTCAAGAGAGATTTTCAAGTTTGAAGAAAAATGCAACATTTCAGACACATTCCTGGAATCAGGAAAACTTGAATCTTCAGGAATGAAGAGAAAACACAGGAAATGATAAATCACTGATAAATAGAAAGGATTTCTTATTCTTTCTTTAAGTTTTAAAATATACACAGCTATTTGTGGTGGTGTTTTCAATGTATGTAGATATAATATAAGTCAACTATTAAAACAAATCTCAGTACTTGTGAATAAAGAAACATTTGGTGCAAGATTTCAACATTTTACATGAAATAATGCAATAGTAACCTTCAGTGGACTCTGAATAGTACTCATGTATGTTGTAAAATCTAGAACCATTCAAAACAGTACAAAGAGATACAACCAAAAACCAATATGTAAAAGGGAATATTAAAAAGTATCCCAGTAATCCAAAAACAGCCAGGAAAAAATAAGAGAACAAAAATTAGAGATGGGCCAAACAGAAAAACAATACTAAAATACAATGTCTAGATTCATGCAAAGTAATCTATTGAACTGGACAGAAGATGATTCCCTCAGGTCTGAAGCAGAGAGAGGGAGGGATAGCAAAGGGCAAGAGAAACCCTTTGTGAGTATTAGAAGTGCCCATTACCTTGATTGCGGAGTGTTAAAACTGATCAAATTGTACACTTTATGTGCAGTTTATTGAACTACAATTATAAATTAATAAAAGGCAAATGCCACACCTACAAGACTGGTCATCTGGTCTTTATGCTTATCAACCTGTATCCCTTCTAATATTCCCAAAAATTGTCCCAAGTGAACTAAAATACAACTTTTTTTTATTCTTCCTGTTCCAATGTCCCAAATTCTAAGGAAAATGTACCTTAAACTTTTTGTGTTAACTTCCCTAAACTCTCCACTGTCTCACAACAAAAATGAAGCCAGAAAAACCTAGGAGGCTCCTGGATGCATCTCCATGCTTCTTCACTCAAGGACATTGCACAGGGCTCCATCCAAGTCCACCTTGTCTGTCCTATATTCCTTCTGCCACATGAAAGGCAGACTCAAGTTGACTGCCTGGCTCATCACACAACAGACTTGGCTCTACTGGATACATTTATATCTACTCAAAGTGTCAGTTGTATGTATGAACAGAAAGACAACATGAACATTTTAGAGTTAATCTGCAATTGCTCAAAATTTCTCATTAACTTCTGGTTCAGAATCCTCCTCATTACTTGGCTAAGGGCTCTATATATACATCCATATAATGCTCTAGACTAATACTTAAGACATGTGCATTGAGAACCTGCATTTGAGTCCTGGCTGTTCTCCTAAGTACCAATGTGATCATGAATAAATGACTTAAACTCTTTGTGCCTCACATCTTTGTATTCACAATGGGCATAGTAGTATACAACAATCTCTGAGAGATTTAAATGTTCTGATGAATATTGCAGACATGGAGTAAGGCCTATATTAAGATATGAACTCTATTAGGGCAGCAAATTTTGTTTATTCCGCAAAACTATTTTTTTAGATTATTATCTGGCACAGAGTAGACACAAACAATTTTGCATTGAATAAATTCGTTTAATGAAAAAATTGGTAGCTTTTTGTGGTAGCAGTAATAACTTTTCCTACTCATTTATTAAGCTAACATATGTTTGAAAATATTTTACTGTGATGAAGATACTATTCTTATTACAGAAATATAAAACTTTTGCTTGAATGTGCACAGAGAACATCACCCTATGCCTGACATGTAAATTCCCCAAGAGAACTGTAAGAAATGTTCCTTCTTCTCCTCCCATATGAGTGTTTGTGTGTAATGCTCTCTCCTCCTCCTCCTTTCATTCTTGTATTTCTTTCTTTCTTTCAGGATCTATGACTTCCTGGGCTGACGTTTCCCTAGAAATCTTGTTTTCCAGCCCCAGCTTATCAAGGAGACATTTGCAACCTCATCTGTTACAGGTTTGTCTCTAAATCCAGTATTTTCCTGGATAACTTGGGACCAGCCAGGGGGCTACTGTGCTATGCAAGGATGAACACATAGATTATTTCTTTCATTCAAGATTTAGACATGCAGAACCACAAATTTCAGCCGTGATTAAGAAACTATGGTGACAGACACTGTTTTCACTCTCCCCATCAAAGTTCCTCATATGAGGCCTTTTTACTTCTTGTTCTTTCCTGTGAACAAGATGAACTCCTGTCAAAATGAACTCCTTTCCTGGAGTTCATTTGGGTGACTTTCATAGCAGCAAGAGTGCCTGGGCTGAATGATGGGTGACAACAATAGTACACTAGATCCTGGTCCCTAAACTAGAGTGGATCATCAGGTCAGACACCCAGCATCCATATTTCTCATTATGTCTCAGAGTTTGTGCTCAGCTCCTCCTGCAGTTTCTGTCACTGTGTCATCTGAACACAGTAGTATGTTGCCGAATCTGACACGTGGGGTGAGCGTTTCTCCAAGTTGAAGGAATTTGGTTTTCTGCGGTATGAGGCTTCAAAACCTTTGTTGCTTCCCTTTTCAGTGACCGTTGCAGCTTTCAGCAGGACCTGTGGACGTTCTCCAGGATACTGAACATACCAGAAGAGAGTGGGGTACATTGCGGATTCATAGGAGCAGTTCACAGTCAGGGAATCCTCTTCTGAGACAGTCACTGGGCCTTCTGTCTGGGTCACCAAGTCTCCATTGCTTCTTCCTGAAAAAAATAACAATAATGATTCTGGTTACCTTGAGCATGAACTGGATATTTACCCCTTAGAGAAAATCATGGTTAAAGATTTCCAACATAATGAAAAGAAAGACTTTAAGTTTTTTGTGCCTTTTACTTACCAAACATTAAGAACAGCCAAATCACTGATCCTGCAGAAGAGTTCATTCTTAGAGGCTCTGGTGTCCTTCGGTCTTGACTTCTGAGTGTGAGGAATGGTTAATTTGAGGTCAGAGTGAAAGGAGGAGTGTGAGCTCAGGACATGTGGGTCTGTTAGCAAAATGCGCCCCCCTGTGGGTAAGAACTAAACTCGTAGGAATGTTAACCTGTTCTTTCAAAAGTTAGCCTTATATCTTCACCTCTTGCCTTTCTTTTTGTTTGTTTTTTTAAGGACACCTGTTAACTGACAGATGGTCCTTTCAAAATCAAAAGAATAGTTTGTATTTTATAAGCTTTTTTTGCCGAGCACACTGCCTGACTTGGAAGCTTCATACCATGACATTTCCGAAAAGAATTCAATTTAACTTTTTCTTATTTAGCCATGTTTAGCCACCTTGTGAGTCACTGAAATACTATATAAGCAATGTGTAGCATAAAATCAGATGTATAATAAGACAACATGTTTAACTATTAGTAGATTTTTTGGTATCTCAGAGAACCATTTTTCACCACTTTATTTCCACACCTACAATGTTGGACATTCTCAGCAAGTGATGAAAAATATTTCTTAAGTCCAAAAATGGATAAATAAGTGATGGTCTTTCTTTGAGGAATTTCTGCTACTTGAAACACGACTTGGCTTAGACATCCATTGAAAGAAACACAATTTAATAAAAGCTTTCCAGAGAATAAAAGAAATTCTATATTACATATACATTGCTTAAATGTGAAAAAATATGTAACTCTTACCATTGGAGAAACATAAAATTCAAATTATTGAATTCCTATAATATTATCTGGTATCACTTTCTCCTTCCTTAGGATTATAATGATTCTCAGATAATCCAGTTGGCCTAAGCGCATCAGGCAAAATGTTCTACACTTTTAATAGAAGTTATGCCTCAAGTATGCTCTCTGCCCATACCCATTTGGCCATTATATTGCTCAACATGGTTCAACAAAATTACTTCTTGCCACATGAATCCACATGCATAATATGGATTTGCCTCCCAAGACAAAAGAATGGGCTGAATCTCAGCTTTTACGGTTGGTAGAGACATGCCTGCTGATGAACAGAAACATTTTATAGCGAGGGTGAAACCTTTTTTAGATGAGTTACTTGGGATGATCTGATCATAAATTCCTAACTGGGAAGGTCATGATAGGTAGTCTCACCCCAGGGACATAACTTCTTTAGTGAGAGTTTTTGTCTTTGCTTTAAGCAAGTCTTGTTCATGTTTTTGTGTGTGTGCATTCAGTTAACACACCTCTGAAGCAAGCCATTTCACCCTTAACTATCCTGTAGTTCTAATCCTGCCTTGCTTTCTCCCTCCTTCATGTAATCTTCCTTCCCTTCCCTTCTTAATCTCAAACACATAAAAGAAACTGCAAACTTTTATTCTCGAAACATCTATCCCAGTCTGCTGAGATCTTGCTTCTGGGTATATCTTAGTCTGACTCAAACATTTTTTGTAAAAATTTTTTTAAAAAGAGGTTATTTGGTGATGGAGTACACATTTGGAGATCTCTCCACTTTACAAAATCATAATCTCCAGGATTAAAGTCTGGGAAGTTAAAAATATCAGGTGTTTTATGATGCAGCCAGTCCTATACAAATTTACAAAATAACCACCAGGAACCCTGAACTAAGAGGACAGTCCTGGTCTCAATGAAGTACATCTGGAGTCAGCATGGGAAAATGCCTCCATTGCCACAAAATTCTGAGGTCATTCTCTCCTTGTGGTGTCTTCTTGTGATGTCACAGTAGCAAAAAAAAAAAAAAAAAGGGCTGCCTACTCTCACCATTTAACTTAACAAAACACACCGAATATTCATAGGACAAACAATGAACATTCATAGGGGAAAGGATGTCTTTTATGTCAAGCTCTACTAACTTCCATGTGTCTTTGAACATGGAAGTGTTTTTTTTCAAGGAGCCTCTTGGAAAATGCACTTTCCTCAAATTCAGCAAAGGCAGCTACATTGTCCTGGATCAAGTGACAAGCTTCCAACGTGAGCAGAAAATTTGGGTCTAGTTACTGTTTAGGTTCATAATCACTTCTTTCTGTTTTCTTATACACTGTGTCAAATCTCTGTGAACAAGCAGCATCTTCCTCCCTTTTTCCTGGTTATTTTGCCTCTAACTTTCTCTACCTGAAGTCAAAGTAGGAATAAACAGAGTGAATGGTCTCACTATCCATGATATACTTTATTTTTTGAAGTCAAGTTTGTCCCTTGTGTCCCAACAACCCTCCATTTCTCGGAAGAAATCTATCATCCACACCATGAGCCAGTAAGGACATGAATGTCATTGAAGAATTTTAACAGTAAGTTTTAGTGGGTCATATTAAAACTATGTGATCAATAACAAAAATTTCTTAAGCTAATAACCAATAATAGATTTTATTCAGATGTCCTGACTTCAAGAGCTCAGAATCTCTGCTTAATGGAATTTGATTTACCAAAGTATATTAGTCAAAACTAAGAAAAACTAGAAACAAGTAAAAAATAATTTTAAAATTTTTTAAATTTTAAATTGACATGCAATGTTATATGAGTTTCAGATGTAAACATAGTGATTATACACTTATATAACTTACAAAACAACTACCCTGATAACCTAGTACCCATCAGACACACTACATAGTTATTACAATATTATTGACTGTATTCCCTATGCTATACTTTACATCCCAGTGACTGGCAAGTTTTACATCTTAATTTCTTCTCCTTTTCATCCATTGATCCAAGTCCCCTCCCATCAGGCAACTATCTAAATGTTCTCTGTATCTATGAGTTTGTTTTTGTTTTGTTTATTTTTTTAGATTCCACATAGAAGTGAAATCATATGATATTTGTCTTTTTCTGTCTGATTTATTTCACTTAGTATAATAGCCTCTAGGTCTCTCCATGTTGTTGTAGATGGCAGGATCTTATCCTTTTAATGGCTGAGTAATATGCTACCGTGTATATATATGAACCCACATCTTTATCTATTTGTCTATCGAAGGACACTTAATGTTGCTTCCATATCTAGGCTATCATAAACATGCTGCAATAATCATAGGGATGCATATATCTTTTCAAATTATTATTTTGGGCTTCTTCAGAAGAATACTCCGAAGTAGAATTGCTGGTTCCTTTTTGAAATCTATATATAAGCTTTTAAAGTCTATTTTGCCTGATATAAGTATTGCTACTCCAGCTGTTTTTTCATTTCCATTTGCATGAAATATATTTTCCATCCCTTTACTTTCAGTATGTATGTCTTTCAGTCTGAAGTAGATTTTTTGTAGGCAGCATATGTATGGGTCTTGTTTCATATCCATTGAGTCACCGTATGTCTTTTGATTGAGCCATTGATTGATTTAAATTTAAAGTAATTATTGATAGTTGTGTAGTTACTGTCATTTTATTATTCATATTTTTTCTTTATTTACTGTTTTTCAGTTACAATTTTCCCCATTCCCACCACCTTGCTCTCCCCTGCCTCTCGAACTCTCACTCCCAAAGACATTTCCCACCCCATTGTCCTTTTCCATGGGTCCCTTGAACACATTCCTTGGCTTGAACCTTCCCTTTCTTTCCCCGTTATCCACACTGCCCCCTCCATTTGGTCCCTGTCAGTTTGTTCTTTATTTTCATGTCTCTGGTTCTTTTTTATTCATTTGTTTCTTTTGTTGATTAGGTTCCACTTATAGGTGAGATCAATGGTATTTTTCTTTCACCTCATGGCTTATTTCACTTAGCATAAAACTCTCCAGTTCCATCCAGGCTGTCTTGAAGGGTAGGAGTTCCTTTTTGCTTTTTGATGGTTAGTTTGCATCGTGTAAAGGTACCACAGTTTTTTGATCTACTCATTTAATAAAGGGTACTTAGGCTGTTTCCAGCACTTGCCTATTGTAAATAACGATGCTATGAACATAGGGGTGCATAGGTTCCTTTGAATGGTGTTCAGGATTCTTAGGGTATAATCCCAGCAGTGGAATTGCTGGGTCAAAAGGAAATTCCATTTTTAGTTTTTTGAGGAAATTCCAGGCTGTTTCCCACAGTGGCTGCACTAGTCTGCGTTCCCACCAACAGTGTACTGGGGTCCCCTTTTCTCTACAGCCTCGCCAGCACTTGGTATTTCTTGACTTGTTTATGATGGCCATTCTGACCAGTGTGAAGTGGTATCTCATTGTGGTTTTAAGTTGCATCTCTCTGGTGGCTAGTGATGCTGAGCATCCTTTCATGTGCCTATGGGTCCTCTATGTGTCCTTGGAGAAATGTCTGTTCAGGCCTATTTTTTAATCAGATTGTTTGTCCTCCTGGAGAGAAATCATTTGAGTTAATTATATATTTGGGAGAACAAACCCTTGTCCAAAGTATCACTGGCAAATGTTTTCCCACATGGTTGGTTCCCTTTTTATTTTGCTGATGTTTTCTTCATCTGTGCAGGTTTTTAGTTAGATATAGGCCCATTTGTTTATTCTTTCCCTTTTTCCCTTGCTCTAGGGGTCATATAGGTGAGAATATTGCTGCGTGGGATGTCTGAAACTTTCCTGCCTATGTTCTTCTCTAGGACTTCTATGTGTCACAATTTATATATAAGTAATTTATCCATCTTGAGTTTATTTTTATGTATGGTGTAAGTTAGTGGTCTAGTTTCATTTTTTTTGCATTTACCTCTCCAGATCTCCCGACACCATTTATTGAAGGGGCTATTTTTACTCTATATTTTGCATGTGCCCC